AGGGGAAGAGAGCAGGTTTCCCCTAAGTGGGTATTTGAACTAGGCCCAGAAAGCTGAATAGGAGTTCACCAGGCAGAGAATCGCTGTTCTGGCCAGCAGAAACCAGCAAATGCAAAACCCCACTGGCTGAATGGGTTTGGGGAGTGTTTGGAGAAGGGCAGGACTAGAATGCATGGAAGAATGAGTTAAGAGATGAGGTTGGACAGGTGGGTAGGGACCAAACCACTCAGTGCCTCAAATGCCAGGCTACAGGGCTAGGAGGGTATTGAGGAAGCAGAAAAGGATCTTGAGCAAGGGAAGGGCTGGGATACCGGCTATTCAGAAGATCCCTCTGGAGTGAACTGGAGGACAGACCTGGAGGCTGGGAGGCCAAGAAGAAGCCTGGGTTGGGGCCCCTGGGAGGGAGAGGAGGATTCAGAGAAAGAGACTAAAGAAGAGGTGAGGAGGGCTCCTAGATTCCTTTCATCCTATGAGGCTATAGCTGGAGCAATCAGCTCCCTGAGCCCCCTGGTAAAGGACAGCGGTTGACACCGCCTGCTAAGAGGAAAGGCTGTTTATAGATTGGGTCGCTTATAACAATACACAGGGCTCCCACGTGCGACCTCTCCTGGGGTGCGCTTCAAGCGGGTTCCCTAAATTGTCTCTTCACCCTGCGCCCCTCCTGTTCCTGGCCAGTCCGTGAACGCAGCGCTCACTCAGGAGACTCCAGCAAGGACAGGCCAGTTTATCCACCGGGACTGGAAGACCAGGGCTGGAACAGGTCAGGGATCCTTTGAGGGGTCTACTTCCACTGGTTGGGGGTCTGCACAGTCAGTTCTCCCACGGATGCAGGAAAACCCGCTGCCTGCAAACTTTTAGCGGAGAGCTGGGGAAAGTCAAATGACCTCCGTTTCCATCTGGCCTTCCACCTTCTTTTTTTGCCTCTCCATCACCACTTGCAGCTCTGACACTTTGTCCTGGAGGGCGGGGTTAAAATCAAGACCGTGGCAACCGAGCCTGGGCTCCCTCCTTGGCCCGGGGCCCAGTGGCCCTGCTCACCTCCAGCAGCGCGCGCTGCACCGTGACCTGGCTGTACACGCGTGCCCCCTCCTGAGGGCTTACCGCCCGGAACTCCTCCTTCTGCAGCGAGAAAATCTGCGCTCCGGTCAGCACACCCAGCGCGTCCACAGTCCTGAGCGAGGGCAGTGGGGGCATGGTCAGGCCTACCGGCCAATCAGCTCCCCAAGACCCACCATTCACTTCATGCCCACCCAGCCGTTTGTCCAGTCATCAACATTATAGCTCAAACAAGGTCGGGGCACTGCTGAGGGCTCCTGAATCCTACTTTTCAAGGGATAGGACTTCCCTGGAGACTCCAATCGGAGCCTGGGAAAACATGCCCATCACAGCCAGTCATTCATTGTTGCAACCAGACAGACCCTCGCTTTGGGCCAATCTCAGTTCCCTGCAGCCCACCTATGCCCCCACTTTGAGCCAATCAGAACGTTCTAACTCTAGCGCCCACACCTCAGGGACCGGAGCCGGCAACCGCCACTCACCCGGAGCTAAAGCCCTTGGCCTGCAGCCAGGCGCGGACCTCTGAGGCGTCCGAACGCGGGCTGAGCTGCGGCTCCGGGACGTGGGGTCCGGGGGTTGTGCGGCTGGGGCCAGAACGGCCCTGGGCAAGGCGAGCCTGCAGCTCCTCGTTGACACTGAGCATCTGGCAGAATTTCTCTGCGGACAGGAAACGGAGCAGGGACGGACTCGGTGAAGGGTCCTCATGATGGGCCGGAGTGCATCTACTCTTCCCGAGCCTCGGTTTCCCTGCCTGGAGGGCAGGGACCGCTCCCCCGAGAGTGGGGGGTGGTGGTGGGATGGGGTGCCCCCACCACTCACCTTTCTCTCTGGGGTCCAAGTTGCTGAGGCTGTCACAGCTGTCCCAGTGGGGCGGAGCCGGAACAGGAGCTGTGGCCGGGGCCGGGGCTGTTGGGGGAGGTGGAGTGCTATTCTAGATGGGACCAAGAGGAGAGAGCACCTGGATCAGAGAGGACTCCGAGTCCGAGACTCCTTATGGAGATAAGTTTCTGAAACAACAACCAACTCCCCTGCCAGTACCACTGACTTTGACACCTGATCACTACGTCCTTTGTTCCCAGGACCTAGGACCTGGCTCCCAGCACCTCTTCCCTCAAGACCCAGGAGTCTGCCCTGGCTCACCAGGATTCGGGCAGGCCTTTAGCTGCGCCTACCTGGGGACCTGGGTGGGGTGTTAGGATATTATAGGGTACATATCCCTCTTGTCCCAGCTGGTCCCGAACCTTCCACCACTTGCGCTTGTCATCCAGGACCTGGGGGAGGTATGAGGGAGGATTCAGAGCCTGTGTCTGCAACTAGAGCTGGGTCAACTGCAGCCCCTCAGCCCCCCACCCCTCTAACCTCCAACACGTCCCGTTGCTTGACCGATAGCTCGCTGCTGTTGCGGGCCTGGAAGTCATAATTACAGAGGACCCACTTCCCTGCGGGCTCTGGTTCAGGCTGGGGCTCAGCTTCTGGTTCTGGGTCTTGGTGACTGAGGAGAAGGGAGGGTTGGGGATAAGAGGCACCCAGCCCCACTGCTCTGAGCTGTAGGGTGTTGGTGTGAGCTGGGGTTACAGCCAAGCAAGGGCCAAGGCAGGGGGCTAAATTAGTATTGTTAATAGAAATTTAAAATTGGAATAACAGCTAGAATTTATTTTGCTTCTTATGTGCCTGGCACCGAGCTGTAAGCACATGAGATGGGTACAACATCACCTCCATTTTATAGATGAGAACATTCAGGCTCAGAGATAAAATCACTTGCCCTACATCACACAGCTGGAGACAGCTACTATTTATTGAGCATCTACTGTACTGGGCTCATCCATAATGATAACCCATAGTCATAATAAAAACAATAGTTAGCACTTATTAGCACGTGCCAGGCACTGTTCAAAATCTGTTACATATATTAGCTGATTTGATTCTCAAGACAAACCCTGGAAGAACCATAAATTTGGACCCCCCCACTCTCTTCCACTTCCCAGAGACCCTATTATTATCTTCATTTTACAGGTGAGGAAGTGGAGGAAGATTGATGTAAAGTGACCTAGTGATGTAAAGATCTCAGAGCAAAAAAAAGGCAGAGCTGACCTGGAACCCAGGCAGGCTGGCCCCAGAGCCCATGTCCTGAGCAATTTTGCTCTCCTGTGCATGCAGCTGCACATGAACCTGAGCTCTGCCATGGCCTTGGCCTCTTAACTGCTAGCCTGTACAACCTCATGGATTTCTCATTCTTCCAGGAAAAAATTATTATTATGATTCCCATTTTGTCTCCAAAGAACTGAAAAGCTGGGGTTGTCAAGCCCAAGATTCAGAAGCACAGGGGTGGGATAGGGAGGGGGTTCCGCGAGACCAGGCATCTGGGGGCATGGGAGTGGTATTTGGGCTCTGACCCCCCAGTAAGAGGGACCTCAGCCCGGATCAGGCCTACCTGTGCAAGGGAGAGGGGGGGTCTTCAGGGCCGCGGCACCCCCTGTGTGGGGCCGGCACCTCCCAGCTCGCTGTCCCTGCTGAGACCCTCTGCTGGGCACTCACCCAGACCCCCCTTCTGCTCCTCCAGCTTTGCTGCTTGGTTTCTTCTTATCCCATGTGGCTTCCCTCCTATCTGCCCCAGACTTGCCTAAGGACCCTAGAGTCCTAGTCCCTCTATCCCCTTTTCCCCTGTACCTCCACTGCTTGTAACTGTGAACTTGGACCCCCCAGTTTTTTCCTCCCCCAGAGACCCAGGAGCCCAGGTCTCAAACTTTAATTTCCTTGCCCTTTTAAACCTTAAAGGCTTCCAATGTGATACGCAACAGGGACTGAGACAATTGTCTAGACTAGAGCCTTGGGAAAGCGATGGTCTGGCCTCCCAGCCTTGACATCTCTCAGTGGCCCAGAGATACTACCACTTCCTAACTTTCTCCGAAACTTGCCCCATGGCCCTTGAAAGTCCCAGGCCCACTTATCTGGTTCTCCAAGGTTCCAAGCATCAGATCTGAGCTCTCATTCTGAACCCAAATGTTCAATTCCCCAGCCTCTTCCCCCAACACCCAGCGCTCTATCTTGATAGGGACCCATGTAGAGAGCTTCCCAGACCCTGGGTAACAAAACTGTCTTCTTCCAACCCTTTGGGGACCCAGAGGTCCAACCTCTCAGACTTTACCCACTACCCATCCCCTCCTCCCTCACACCCTGGAATTTAGACCTCCATTTCCCTCCTCCCTTGGACCCAAAAGTCTGGGCCCCGACCCGTCCCTCCCTGCTCCTCCCCCCTCTCCCAGCCCCGGCCCCGCCTCTTCACCACCTCACCCACCTGGGAAGAGCCGGGAAGACAGAAGAAAAAAGACAAAAAAGGGGGCGGAGTTAGCGTTGGAAGCCCCCAGGACTTACCCCTTTGTACCCCACCTGCCCCGCCCTGGGGCCGACACTCACCCATTGACAGCAATCTGGGGGGCGCTTTGCTGCAGGAGATAAAAGGGCAGCAGGTCGGGCGGGGCCGGCCTGCTCCCGGGCTTCCCAGTCCGCGCTGTGTCACCTAGGGGAGCTTGCTGTTCCCTTGAAGCTTTAGCCTCACCTGCCGGCGCCGCCGCTCGTGCTGTAGCTGTTTCTCTACTGGGTCCTCCCAGGAGCGGCCCTGAGGGTCAGTGGCCGGGGGCTCCCAGCCGCTGTAGAACTCGGGGATGTATGGGGGTCCCTCCTCCAGAGGCAACTCCACCCTGCGACCAAGGAAGGGGTCCAGAGCTCAGGGATCCTGGTAAATCCCCGACTTAGCCCTGTCATTAGCTTCACTTTCCCCCTTGCCCCAAGCCTCACGCTATCCCAGGTATTCTATCCTCGCCACTTTTTGCCAAGCCGTGCCCCTGCCTCTAAACTCCACCCACGACATCAATTATATTTCTAAACACACGGATTCCAATTTAATGCTCCCCTCACCAGTCTCTGTATCTCACCTGATTCCAAACCGGCTTTCTAGTTACGCACATCCTTCCCTGGTTCTGCCCTTACCCCCTTGAGGCTCTCTGCTTCCAAGAGCACAGGCTTTTGCCCTCTTTGCAAACCCACAGGCCAAACTTTTCCTAAACTCCGCCCCTTCGGTATTGCTCTGCCCTATAGCCTCGTTCCAATCCTCTAAACCCCGCCTTTTGTTCCTTTGTGGTTGCGATTCAGTCTAAAATCTCTTCAAGCTCATTTCTGGCCTTTCCCCCAATCGGATGCTGGCATTTGTCCTAGATCCATTTTTCATTGGACACCCCCCCTTCCGCTCTCCAATCGCCACATTCCTGCTTCCCAGCCCCACCCCTCAGTCGCCACAACCCTCTCACCCCGGGCGGGTCCACGAGTCCCCCAGGGAGGTCCAGAGCGCATTTTCACTTGGGGTGACATTGTCCCGCAGCAGTGCCACGGCCTCGGACGTTAGGTATGGCCGCCGAACGCAGCTCGCGAACTGGGGGCCGCCCGACATGTCCACAATCTGCCAGGAGGCAGGCAGTGGCACACCATCAGACCCTCTAGAGGTGGAACCCCGATTCCTCCTCCTACAAGGGGGACCTGAGGATGGCGGGGTGGTCTCACTATGTGCAGAGGTCCGAACAGGAAGTGCAGCAGCTCTGGGGAGGAGGGGTTGGCTATGTTGCCGCGCAGCCGAGCCTGCGGAGCGGGGGAGGGGTTGGCATAAGTGCGTGGAGGGGTCAGGTTCACCATCTCCCCCCATTCCCCGACCCTGATGCCCTGGGCGGGACGCGTCCTCACCAGCAGGCTGAAGGTGTATTTGATTTTCTGAAGCACGTCGGTGTACTCGGCCTCGCTGGGCGGCTTGGCCCGCAGCGTCAGGAGGCCCTCTGTAGGTAATGGGGCAAGCGAGGTGATGGAGAACACGGAGACAGCGTCAGAGAAAGAGGCAGAGACCCAGTGAGATCAGGATGGGGAGTCAAACTGGCAGAGGGTATGAGGGGAGACCCTAGGGAGAGGGAGGGTATTTGGGTGTGACCAGGGAAGGGGGTGTTTGAGATTCCACTCGAGGGGCGCCCCTCACCCCCAGCCGCCCGGTGCCGGGTCCTGCGGCCGCGCTCTCGGTGCTCCAGCACTCGGGCCGCCTCCGCAGACTTCTGCAGCTTCGATACGAAGCTCTCCACGTCGTCAAACACATGGTTCAGGATGTCCTGGGGGACAGAGCAAGGGGACGCGTCAGACCCCTAAGTCCCGAACCCTCATCACCCGGGTGGAAGCCTTCCAGCTGAGAGCGCTTAGACACCAACCCCAAACCAGGACCAAGCCCCACCATCTGGGAGGACTTATACCCCACAGCCGGTGCAGTCCCCAGTTTAGCTCCGCCCCTGGACATCTGGCCACGCCTTACTTACCACGTCCCGCTCTGCTTGCAGATTAGCCAGGTCTGGGCCTCGGGGTCCCAGGTCTGGGGAGGCCGGGTCAACGCTACTGGAGGTCTCCGCCAAGCAGGGCCTCCGCGCCGCTTCCGTCTCGGTGGTGGGCTCCGTCTGGGGTCTTCCGCTGCTGGCGGCTGGCTCCACAGTGCTGATCGCTGCGCGGACCGACGGGCGGCGCTGCAGGGGCGGAGTCTCGGCGGCGGGCGAGGGGCTGCGCTGAAGCTCCTCTTGCGTGGCCCTGTAAAGGGAGAAGGGGAAACTGAAGCTGGGTCCCTCAGGGGTCCAAGGAGGGGGAAAATTCGGGGCTTAAAACGGAAACACTAGTCCAAAAGGGTCGAATCCAGGCTCAGAGTGGTAGGGAGAAATCCAAGATAGAAGGGGAAGCACTTCTCTGGAGGGAAACTGAGACCAAGGGTGGAGAAAACTAGGACCAGAACCAAAAAAAGTAGGGTCCTGGAGAGGGGGCACATTTGTCTGGGAGGTACACGCAAGACTTGAAGCAGGCTTTGTTTGACTCCATTCAACATTCTGCTTTAGGCTAGTTGTATTAGCCCATTTTCTCGGATGGGAAAACTAAGGACCAAAGATAACCCCCACCCGTCCTCTTCTCCTCCGCTTCCAGCCCAGCCCTCTTACCTAAGCGCGGCCGCCCTGCGATCCCCACGGCCGGAACGATAGTTGTGTAGAGCCCCTTGAATGTCCTCTCGTATCAGCTCCGCCTGTCAATCACACCGTCAGGCCTCGCTCCCACCCCACCCACTGTGCGACCTGGTCGTGCTCCGGGATGGATTCCTTGGCTCTACCCCAGGCCACTTCCTGTCATCACTCACGCCTGTGGACCCACGCAGGTCCACGCCCTAGATTCACACCTTTGCCATAAATCTGTCCCTGATCTAGGCCACACCCCCACCCACGGAGGCCCCGTCCAGGTGGCTCCTGGCCCCCAGACCACACTCACCCCCATTCCAGCTCTGGCTGCTCCACAGGACCCCTCTCACATGTTCTGTCCAAGCCCTTAGCTTCCATTTCCTTTCCGCCCTCACGTTCTACCTCGACCCTGTGTCCAACCTGTCCTCAAAGCCCCCTTCCTTCTAGAACGTCTTTCCGGGTTACGCCCCCTCCGCTGGCCCAGACCCCGCCTTTGCCCCAGGCCACGCCCCAATGTTAGAGGTCTCGCCGCCCGGTCCTCCGGGTGCTGCCCGCTCACCCCGAGGCGCAGGCCCTGGAAGAAGTGCACGTCGGGCTGCGCGCGCTCGGGCTCCTGGCACACGAGCAGCAGCAACGAACGGCTCCGGCCTGGTGGCATCACCGCGTCGCAGCGCACGATGGCGCCCAGTGCGTACGACTCCAGCTCCTCCTGCGGGACGGGACTGCGAGTAAACTGAGGCCCAGAACCAAAGACACGACTACTTGGGGACTGCAGGTGCAGGCAGGCACTGCGCAGGGAAAACCCGCGATAACACCCCTGTTTAATAGATGAGCTTAATAGGGCTCAAAAAGGGGGCAGGGGTCCCTTGCCAAAGTTCCCTGAGGAAGGACACACAGGAACCAAGATTCACACTAAGATCCCCATGTCCTCAGTCCACGCCTCCCCTGCTCAATCCAGCTGCTCCTTCCATCCACGCACCTTGGAGACGGGGTCGAGCAACGTGACGTGGCTGGGAGACACGCGCAGCAGCATCTCCTGGGCCCAGACACGGCCCTGGCTGTCCATGACCGCCAGCTTCCGCGAGGCGTCCTCTACAGTGTGCACTCCGTCTTCCTCGCCCAGGCAGAACGTCACCAGGTGCTAGCACAGGCCATGGAGAAAGCAGTGAGTCCCCAGATGATGTCAGGTGGGCTTAGAATCTCCTGGAATCAGCCTTCAGGCTTGTGACTAGTCACACCTCCTTTGGGAAGCCTTCCCTGATCACCTGCCCCACCTATGGATACCTCCACTCAATGCCCTTTATTTCTCTTTCATCAGAATGACTAACACCTGGGTCTGCCTTCCCATCTAGACTGGAGGCTCCTCAAAAGCAGGCAATTGTCTGGATTATATCTACTCCCTTCTAAGCACCTCTACCTCCATTAGAGCAACTGGCACCCTTCGTTCTACCTGTGGACCTTGTCTACCCCCTACTCATCCAGGATTGCATCTGATTTGTCCCGGTGGCCAGACCGTTCAGCTCAAGAGCTGGTCCAGAGGAAAAGTTGGCAGATTCGAGTGGAATTGAGTTCCTCCATGGATGCCCATGTCTGAGATAAGGTGAAGTTCGCTGTGCAGGTGAGCAAAGTTTCCCAAGTTCTTTCTACTTGGAGGCCCAACTGCTTTCAACACCCCAGTCTCCTTTCATCCTACAGGACTAACGGTGGCAATGCTGACCCCAGACTCACATTGACTGGATACTGGGAAACGTCCGCCATAACCACAGTTGAATAACGCTTCCTCTGCTCTGTGGGGGGTGTGGGAGGAGAAGGAGGATGGACCCAGGAGCCCTGCTTCCAGTCCCTCCTCCCTCAGACCCAGGAGTCCAGACTCCCAGCCCCTCCTCCCTCAGACCCAGGAGTCCAGGCCCTCAGCCCCTCCTCCCTCAGATCCAGGACTCCAGGTCCTCAGTTCCCTCACTCTTCAGATCCTGTTTCTCTCTGCCTGGGGTTTCCTTGCCTGAAAACTCACCATAAATGGACTTGGCGCTTGGTTTGGGGGCAGCTTCTGGGCTGGTGAAGGAAAAAAGGAGTGAGAGGGGCTGTGGGAATTGGGAGCAGATCATGGGGGTTTCAAATGCCAAGCAGAGCAGTGACTTCATTGTGAGGACACTGGGAAGCCACGCAGGGCTCTAAGCATGGGAGGGCAGGGCATAGCTGGACATTACTAAGACCGGTGAGGTGGTAGTACTGGGCGGTGGTGGCGAGTGTGGCCTCTACTGTCACAAGGACTTGGATTCGAATTCCCTGTCAACTACTGTCTTGCCATAAGATCCCGGGTAGGAGACTTCACCTCTCCTGCTTCTGTTTTCCTCTCTGTAAAATAGGGGTTTAGTTACCCTACAGATTCCCTCTGGTAGAGATGTTGGGCAAATTGAAGTGTTTTGCAGCTTTGATAACTGTTATGATGATGATGATGATGATGATGATGATGCTAAAGTCTTAGCACACAGTAGTTGCTCAATAAATGGGAATATTGGGAATTTTTATAATAGCATTAGAATTTGGAGTAGACAGAGTTACCTTATTCCCTTCCCACCCACAATGGGCCAGGCTTTTCCCAGCCAAATGACTTCTCTGTCTCCTGCCTTCGACCCCCTCTTCAAGGTCACTGCTCCAAGAATTCTTGAGTCCCCATTTCCACAGAAATAACAGAAGCTCAGAGCTCAGGTGAGGTCAGAGATGAGGGATAAGAAACCCTTTCAGTCAAACCTCAACCCCTCATCTTGTTCCTGTCAGTCAGATCTCCTCACAATTTGATTACTTCTGGGCTGGAGAATTTACTACCTCACATCTCCTGTATAGCTGTTCCCATGTGTCTGTCTTTATCCTTCTCCCTGCTCACTCTAGGAGACTTGAGCCTTTGTTATAAACATGCCTGACTTTTTAGCAAAGGGTCAATATTTAATAATAATATAATAACAGGGCCGGCTGAGTGGCGCGTTGGTTACGAGTTGGCTTGGGACGCCAGCTCTGAGCAGCAGGGCCCCGGTTCGGATCCCACATTAGGGCCAGTGACACTGCCCTTTACAGCTAAGATGGTGAACAATAGCTCCACCTGGAGCTGGGCTGCAGTGAGTGGCCAGCAATGGGCGTGAGCTGCCGTGAATTGCCGTAAGCGGCCGTCCAATGGCCGGCGAGCAACTGCCTCACCCCGGAAGAGTGCAATGATGGTGCCAATATGGGCCAGTGAAGCGACGTCCTCCACAACTAGACCCAAGAACAAAAGGACAGCAACTTGTCTGTTCCCCGTCCCTGATTCCCCAATGCTGTTCCCCTTCCCCAATTCCTCAATAAAATCTTAAAAAAAATAAGATAATAACTAGCAATCGCAGTTCCTATTAGCTGATCACCTGCTGTTAGTCAGGTTCTCTGCTAAGTCCTAGGCGTGCACTATCCCATCAAGCCCTCAAAATTGTCCCCGTTTCACAGAGGAGGGACTGAAGCTCGAAGAGGTGACATTCTTTGGCCACGGTCATACCACTGCTGAGGGTTATCATCTGGATTTGAACCCAGGTCTGTCTGCTCTGGAGCAGAGCTCTAACTACAGGCTGAACAGGGAAGGAGGCAGCTCAGGCTTCCTTCTGAGTGTCCAAATCTGGGCTCTGTAAATGCCACCTGCGGATATGGGTGAGAGGGTGGGTAGGTGTGGTGGGGTTGAGGGCCTGGTGGGCAGGGGGCACTTACCCTGTGGTGGTGCTCATGGTGCTCAGAATGGGGAGCTCCTGCCACCTGGAGGCGACCTGGGAGCCAGCAAAGAGGTGAGGCCTGATCTGACCTGCAGGACCTAAGATTCCCAGGCCAGCCCCAGGAGTCCAGACCCCCAGCCCCTCCTTCCTCAGACCTGGGACTCCAGGCCCCTCCTCCCTCAGACCCAGGAGTCCAGGTCCCCAGTCTGTCCTCCCTCAGACCCAGGAGTCCAGACCCCCAGCCCCTCCTTCCTCAGACCTGGGACTCCAGGCCCCTCCTCCCTCAGACCCAGGAGTCCAGGCTCCTGGCCCCTCCTCCCTCAGACTCAGGAGTTTAGGCCCCCAGCCGCTCCTCTTTCACACCTAGTACTCTGCCCCCTCCCCAATCCTTCAGGAATTTATGCATTCATTTCTCTAATATGTGTGTACCCCACTTTCCTCCTCTACCCAGGATCCAGTCTCCTAGCCTTATCTTCTCAGGGGCCCAGTCTAGGCTCTGAGCTGCTTAGTCCTAAGAACCAGAGGGTTTTGAGCCCAAGTCTCCTCAGAGAACCACTCATCCAATTCCTCAGTCCCTATGACCCTATATTCTTCCTTTTAGTCACTGGGGGCCCAATCTTCAGCCCTTACCTCTACAAGACTCAAGAGTTTAGGTCCTCCAGCCTTTCCTGTACTCCAGACCCAGGAGTCTAGGCCCCTGCTGCTCCTCTCCCAGACGCAGGACTCCCCACCTTCCAGCCCGTGCTCCCTCAGACCCACACCTCCTCCCGGGCCCCCTCCTCACCTGCCCTGTCAGGCTCTGTCAGTAGAGAGGCCTGTTCTGCTCTCCCTTCCAGACGGAGGGCCACTCCTTCCTTCTCCCTCCCTGAGCTGTCCCGCCTCCGCATACCTGAGCACTCACCTGGCACAGCCCACCTGGGCGGGGCTGGCAGAAAGACCCAGGGCGGGGAAGAAGGGGAGGGGTGGCTGGGACAGCCTCAGGGAAGCAGGAACCATAATTGTCTCATCACAACAACAATAACAACAGTCCTCAATGTCACTACCTGTTCTTGGTCTCAAATACCTCCTTCCAATTCTCCTAATATCTCTGGAAGTTAGAGGTTTGATTTCCACTTGTTCATGGTTCAAGAGAGGGGTGGTCAATGTGGGAGGGTAGGCTTTGAACCTAGGGCCATCTTCCTATCTCCAGGGCTGGTGTAATCTTCTGCTCTGTGCACATCTGTCCACAGTTCCCATCTCCATGAGGGGGTGCCCTTGACCCCCATCCCTTCTCTTTCCTCTTTCTTTGGAAATTTCCCTCAGTAAACCCCTATGATGATGATGATGGCTAAGACTCAACTCACTCAGTGCCTGGCACAGCTTCAGGTAGATCGCAAAAAACAAACAGGTTCCTTAGGCATAAAGCCTGCTTTCAAGAACGTCCGTTTGCAAAGGTCCTTGCTAACTGAGTTATACGTATACATCATTTCTTCCCCAAACCCAGTGAGGTGAGGGTGTCTCCATTTCACAGATGAGGAAACAGAGGGTTAAGAGCCATGCCCAAGGTTATACATGCAGTGAGTGCACGCAAACCTCAGCCACCAAAGCTCAGACCTCAGAAAGCAAGAGGGTGGACATGCTCACTCTTATTCTTTCTCATAAGTGATCTCCACCTGGTTCTCACCACAATCATTTCTCCTAACTGGTCTTCCTGCTCCCTTCCACCCCTCAGTCTAGTCTCAGTGCAGGGACTTAATAGAAATCTAAGTCAGCCCATGTCAAATTCATCTCTGCTCAAAATCCTTCAGTGGTGCTCCTTTCTCTGTATGGAAGCTGAGGTCTGTAGAGTCTTAAGGGATACTACTCTAACCTACTCTTCTTCCTCTTCCTATCACTCTATTTCAGCACACGGACCTTCTTGCAGCTCCTTGAGCTCCCAGAACCCATCCTGCCTCAGGGCCTTTGCACTTGCTGTTCCCTCTTACTGGAATGCTGTTCTCTCACACATCCTTATGGCTTGCTACTCACCTCCTTCAGGTCTTTACTCGAATTTCATCTTCTCAGAGAGGCCTGGCAGAGTATCCTATTTAAAATTGCAGCACCTCTCACCCTCCCCTTGTTCATCTCTTCCCCTGCTTTGTACTTAATTTTTCTTCAGCACATTTATCACATTCTAACACACTATGTAATAGGTGTTCCCTTTGTTTATTATATATCTCCTCATTAGAATGAAAGTATTACCGGGGGAAAGGCTTTTGTGTGTTCAGACTCCCACTCTATCTGCAGCACATAGAACAGGGTCTAGCACAGAGTGCATGAGATATTTGTTGCATTAACGAATTTTTGCACTTGGTGCATTCATGTGCATTATTGCTTCATTGTTTCAGTCAATTCATGTTGACTTCACAGTCTGCGCTGAGTGAGGCTGGAAACCAGAGAAGACACATCCTTGTCCTAGATGGAAGGGGATGAAAGAACAGAGAGAAAGAGAGACAATCATATGGTGTGGTGTGATGACAAAGAGTCCAGGGGTATGGGTTTGAGTCCTGGCTTTGACACTTAATAATTTGGGTCATACTTATTGTGTTGCTTAAGTCCTCTTCTGAGTACATTATATTTGTGCATGGATTTGTATAATCCCCACAACAATATATGAAATGGGTCCTATGAACCCCATTTACACATGAGGAAACTGAAGCACGTACAAATTAAGTAATTTGTCGACAATCGCACAGCTAATACATGATGGATACGGTTGAACCCAGGCCATGCTATTTAGACCCAGCATCGTTTGGTGCTATCCTGCACTGCTACATTTTTTTTTTT